ATTTCGCAAAAAACGGTACAAGTCGTGACTCGTATTCTCTACGTATGGTATTGTAATAAAATGAGTCTTGTTTAAACGAGTAGGATTCACGTCGACGGTATCATTGTGGTCGCGATTATTTAAAAAATTAATTCTTTTTTGAATGTATCTATGTATGATATGTACTGGAAAACAATTATTGATTAAGGTGTCATGTACTAGCTTGATATTTTCTTGTTTAAAGCAGTCATTAGATAATAAAATAGCATGGTCAACTAAATTATAGATAGTGTTAATTTTATATTTTAGCGGGTAATTAGAATAATAATTGATGTATCTCCCGGAGCATGTAGGTTTCCTAAACTAATTGGTAATAAATCTAGTACCCGACCGAATGATTTTAACATTTAAAAAACTAATCGACGAATCAACTTCCATCTCGTAAGTAAATCTCAAGCGTTCGTGATAATTATTAAAGATCGTTAAAATTTCGTCCATTCTTGCGCGTGGCACTATTGCAAAAACATCGTCTACAAGTCTGCAATAAATAGGAACGGTAAAATTCAATGAATTTAAGCATTGTGTCTCCAGATCGTCCATCACCATATCTGCTAGGATAAGTGAAAGCGGAGAACCCATGGGAGTGCCGAAGATCTGTTCATAAAAACACGTCCGTCAATAAAAAATTTTATTATATATAAGATTAAGATTATCTCAGTAAATCAGAAAGAACAATATAATGTGAAAATAAAGGAAAGAGAAAAAATAAATGTAAACTACAAAATATGGAAATTAGCATAGTATTGATCTTTAAAATAATAATATAAGAACTTTTTGCGTCATTAAAATTTAGAAAAATAATCGTTAATTCATGGCAAATACGAATAAACAACTTTTAATAAAATGACAAGTACTTTTCGAAAAATTCCTATAGCTTAAGAAATCAGAAGTATAATATGTACTTAAAACAGAGTAGCAAATTAATAAAATTGACTTTACATTAAATTATGACAATTTTTATATATAATGTTATGTTTATATTATACTTTTCTGTTTCTTTTTGGACGAAATTAGAATTTATATTCTTCTTACTACTGGAAGATATTTTTGGATTTGATTTTTCACTCTCTCTTGAATTTAAATTATATTTACACTTTTTTCTCATAGATTTTGTTATTAATGTTTTATGCATTTTTTTGCAACTTACCGATAGATTCTGGGATGATAGAAATATTTGCAAGTGTAACTTCATCGACTTCTCGCTTCATTTCTTGCAGTACTATCAGAATGGCTCCGGTCAGATTTGAAATTTAGTATATGATCATCACTTTTCTCGGACATTGAAATATCCTTCATAAAGTATAACATACGAAAAGAAGGAAGTATCGTAATATTTGCGGTTTCTTGTGCTTTTAATGATAAATTATAAAATTAAACAAAAAATTGCCCTTCGTTTTTTGTTCACTTAATAATACCGGTTTGATATACATTTTTTTCTTCAAAAAATCCCGGAACCTAAAATATCTCGAAAATGATCACTATAATGAAAAATATGTAAGAAATAAAGTTGTAGGACTAAATAAAATGTATATAATGATGATAAGAATTTTACCTTGGATGAAGTACTCATATGAAAGTCAAGTTGATTTTTTTAAACGGGATACCCTATATACTTTCGCATATTCTTGTAGCTTGCCTCGAGAGCTTTCAAAAACTCTATAATTAAACATTTTTTTCATTAAGTACTTTTCCAGTTATGAAGCTTAAAATCATTTTTTAATTTTATATAAACCATAAAATATCTAGTAAAATATTCATTTTTCGATTATCTTATCTTAATACTTTTATGTACAAAAAAATGAGAGAAATCAATTGGTGTAAAGAAAGCATAGTTATTTTTAAGAAAAAATATGGAATTGTTAATTACAAATTACATATTTTTAGCATTCCAGAACTTCTTGAAGACCCTGTATATTTGAAGACCCCATTCCTAAATGATATAAATTGAATTAATGTAACATTATTCATATCATAAAGTATATTTATTTTTTTTTTAAGACATCTTATATATCAAACATAACTCATGTCAAAAATAAAATCAATCAATAAATTAACGAGAGTCCATGAGGATTTATAACAGCTTTTAACAAGCGAAAATGTAGCAATTATTAAAACAATTTTGTCTAACAATTTCTTTCTCACAATTAGTTAACTCTTCTCAATTTTATCGTAACTCATATTTTTTTTCAAAATTTGCTAATTTACTAAAGTTTTATTAATGTTTGTACTTTAAGAATAAAAAGGTTAAAAATATTGTTTCTTTATAGTTATTAAAGATTAGTCATAGAATTATATAAATTCTTTTATTTATTACATTGTCAAATTTTTTCTCGAATGTCGTTATATTTTTAATACAAACAAATCCTGGAAATGTTAGTATAAACCGATAATGCCTCCATAAAAAATGTGGATATAATTGTACATAATGTGGATATAATTGTATATAAATGGATATATGTACAATAAAAATTAATATAAATTTCAGTGATTGAATATATTGTCGATCGAAATATTAGCGTTAATAGATATAACTTGAAGAATGTTTGATGAATGATTTTTTTATTAGACAGATTTTCTATCTCAATATCTAGTAGCTCTGTGCCGTTATATAATTATTCTTAACACAAAGAAATGATGCTAACTTTCTAAATTAATTTTATAAAATAAAATCTACGTTAGTATAAAGCTTACTATTATATATCAAAAAATATTATTATATACAGGATGTTTCATCCACCGCTTTTATTTTGGAAACGGATAGTGATAAAAAATTAATATGATTATATTTACCATAAAAGCCTATTTGAAGTTTCTGATTATGATATTTTTATTTTTAGGAAACTTCCGGAAATACCAGAAATTGAAGGCAACTTTAAAATTTTAAATGGCAACAGCGGGTAACGAAGGGCAACGATATGGGTATCGTTAGATAAAGCTTTTAAAAAAAAACAACTTTTGTTTGAAACAAAATTTAATATCGCTCGGAAACAGAGCTGGATTTAAAGGTGTGGAGGCCCTGGGGCAACGAAGAGATGGAGACCCCTAATCATTTGTTACGTCCAGACCCTTGAAAAGTCGGGCCATCTGGAAGAACGCAACCTACTTACCCGGTGACACACTTTCGGGCGTGCGTAAGGATCGGGTCGAGCGCACTGTCAGGGGCCTGACATAGGTCAGTGACCACAATAGTCCCTTTAACTCTGTGAGTGTTTTAGGCCGTTACGCTCGTTGGTCCCTTTTCGGTAAGAGAATCGAATCTCTTTTACTCGGGACGGAACCTTGTGCGATTTCGGAAATCAATGGAAGTGAGCAGGGAAAATGTAAATAAATTTACTATCAATCAAAATTTATTTAGTGATCATGAAGGATTTTACAAAAGAATGTTTTTAGTGTGTGTTGTATCGATGTGAATGTGTAATTCTGCGGGTGTTACAACAATACGGGGAACATCAGCCAGGAATAAATAAAAGGAGTTTTAAGGTTGCTAAATCCTGGCTGGATTTTACAATTCTTTGCTAAATTCTGGATTTTTCTTATTTAATCTGGAAGGAAAGGATCTAGAAGAATAGATTAAGGAGGGAATAAAGGTCAAGAATCATCAAACTGGATGGTGGACGGAGGAAATTTTCTTAACAGGGTTTGGATGGGAACGGCTAACGGTAGGTGTGATCCAGGGAGGTACCAAGGAATTATTGAGTCGGCAGGGGCAGTAATTAGATAATGAAGGAATTCTTCGTGGTCCACATGGTTATGTGGACCCACGCAAAAAGATCCTCCTGGAATAGGGAAATCGAGGAGGGAACTGGGATATAAAGTAGCTTAGTCGGTCACAATGGGAGGATTCAGGTGTCGGATTTGGGAGAGAATGTTCTGACGGAGACTCTGGGGGGAAGTCAAAGGGATGGGAGTCCTCGTTAAGGTCGGGAGGATATCTTGTGAAATCCTCCGGATCCTTGAGGAACTCTGAGGACTCCGGGTGGAAGGGGATGGAGGATCGGAGTCGAGGGTAATTACAGGTATGGGAGACGGAGACCGACATTCTAATAAAGGTGCGGGAGAAGGGGGAGGAGAAGGTTCGAGTAAAATCGGGGTAGGAAATCTCTGAGATGACGCGGAGAATGATGGTGAGCTCGGGACAGGTGTGCCGAGGAAGGAGGAGGAAGACACTGGGGAGGAGATAGGGAAGTAACTAGGTGCAGGGATCGAGGGGGATTTGTTATGTGAATGCGTGTTAGTATCACGGTGTATGTCGTCAACGGGTGAAAGGTTACTAATACTATTTATTTTATCGTCATGGGGGAGTTCCGCCGTAAGTTGAGACTGTTCCTCCCTCGAATGTTTGTTCCGACGATTCCGCTAACGCTTTATATTCGAGCGGAAATTGCGAGCCGACACTAATTAAATTTATGCTATTTAGTCACGATAATTATTATAGGAAACGGATGATTGATCAGGAATTTTAGGTCTCTATTGAGAAACGATCTTTAAGATTTATTAATCGTTCTATCTTTTTTATATGTAACATATCCGGCCATGGCTTTGAAGAAGTAAGTATATATATATATATATACATATATATATATATATATATATATATATATATATACAGCCCACACAGCACATGATATCGTACGAATATTCTATACTCATTCTGTGAATGTACGTACTGTACGTAATATACTCAGAACATTTTTATAATATCTTGTGTAGTATATTATTTTTCGTATATTCTCAGGATATTATCAGAACATTTTGTGTAGTATATTATTTTTCGTATATTCTCGTATATTCTCAGAATTTACTTTTAATATCTTTTATAGTATATTATTTTTCGTATATTCTCATAATATACTATTGAATTACGTGCATTTTTACTTTTGAGCGGATATGTATGCCATTTTGGATACGTAATTTCCGCTATTGCCGTCATTTGTCTTTTCCTTCTAGTTGCCACAGGACAATAACCGACACGTGCAGATGTGTTTCGTCTAAAATAAATTTTTCTTTCTCCCGCGCGTTCCGTTGTATATACGGACTATTAAGAACTTACACTCATTTCAACCTCTTAAAGAAGATAATCTGGCAGCCTAATCAGCACTCAGTAAAACTGCTGATTTTTGCTAAAAAGGAAGAAGAAGAAGTCTTTTCCTTCTTCTTCACTGACGACGTACGTGTAACGTGTAACGTGTAATTCTTTGCTACGTCTGTGATACGATTGTGATTATAATCGCAGGTAATACTTCTTATTCTCAAATAAATTAAATATAAAAGGTATTTTATAAAAGCTAAATTTTATTTATTATATTTTTATTAATACTTAATAATTACGATATTAACCTCAAAAATGCAAATTAACCTCACAATATAGTTCATTTTCTCATAAGTTTATTAAATAAGGTTAAAAATACTTATTATTCTTATCTGTGTTGCAGTATTGCCATGTAAAAGCATAATATAAATTTATTTTTTGCAAACAATCTACATAGGAAAGACACACATACACAACTGGAATATTGCGTATAGCAAGGTGTGTATAAATAATTTGTAATAAAAAACTAACATTTTGATATTTCTTTTACATTTTGTCTTGTTTTTTTATTTCTTATGTACACAGCTCATCAATATAATTCATTCCGTTTATATCAGACTGAAGCAACAGGGAATGCTACGTATCTTATATGATTTTTTATTATCATATAATATATTTATATCTTTCATAATTATATCTTTACGTTCATAGTTATATCTTTACATGTGATTTAAAATATACATAGGATGTCCCAAAAGATATACAGTTAAGTTTAAAGATTTGTTAATGTTTTTGTGAGTCAAAAAATGTCAATATAAACTTATCTTTGATTAGCAGAACTATTATATGGAGTTATTACAATACGATGAATCATGGAATTCCTAGCATTAATAAAACTGTTTTGAATGTCAGTAACATTGATAATCAAATATAAGTTTATTGACATTTTTACTTAAAAACATGATTAACGAGCTCTTAAATTTATGACTTTTGGAACACTTTGTATGTATACAGAATGTTCTGTACAGACATAAAATTATTTATGACAATTATAAACTTTAAAAATTTAATTTTTTAATTACATTACATGTAAAGTTTATAATCACATCTTTGCATTGATTTAAATAACAAATATATATAAAAATATATATTAATGTTTTCAAATCAGTTAAAAATATAAATGTAAATATTTAAGTTTATATTATGTGTAATTTTAGACCTCAATGTTAATAATATATAATTTTGTATGTATATGGCACATTCTATATTTATATGCTGCTAATTTATCAAAAATATGTATTTTTATGTGAAATTATTATTATATGTTACAGCGTTCGCACAAAAAGAACATTATTATCAACTTCATGATCTAATAGTTTCTGTGAAGTAAGAAAATTGTATACATATATATATATACATATATAGATGGGATATATGCAATATATGTATATTTAAAACGAGGAAATATAAAAACAAGGTGATATAAACTGCGGACTCAACAAATCACAACAAAAAGTAAGTTTTAATGATATTTTTTAGTGTAAGCAAACTAGCTGTTATTGCAATTATTTGTAAAAACGATTTAAAATTACTATAAGTCTTATTAAATTCACTTTACGACACTAAATTATTTTATATTTTACAAAAATGTTTACGTATCAAATATATATATAATTATGTATATAATTTAACTGAAAAGTACTAATTATATAATACTAATGTTAGAAGCAAAATAAATTTGAAACTAAAATTTCAAAAATTCAATTTTTATTTTTAATAAGATTTTCAAAAATAATGAGAAATAGTTTTCTGAAAATTTTAAACTGTACATAATTTTTGGCTACAATATTAAAAGTTATAAAGTAGGTAAATGAATTGATTATTTTCTTATTTTTATTGTACTATTTATTATTTTATTTATGTATTATTTTATTATGTGTATGTGTATTTATATTTAAGTATGAAATATATTTATATAAGTATAAAATAAATAATAAAATAAATTTAATGAAATAAATAATAAAACAAATGATAAATAAATAAATAAAACATAAAATATATATTTTTAAAAAAATTAAAATTATATTTCATTTTAAATTGTAATCTTTAAAAATAATCGGAGATATTTCAGGTAAACAAAATATCTCATTTAAAAGGATACACTGGAATATCTGCTCAAAAAAACATTTAGAGAAAAGGTTTTAGACAAAAGTTGTTTGGGGGACATATAAGATGGTGCCATTGATTTGATCTTAGATAATTATTTTGAAGGAGACAAAAAAATTTTCAATTTTCTTAATGGAATCTCTAATTTTTATAGCATATTCTTGCAGCTTATTTTGAAAATTCCCAAAACATTTTATTAAGTTATTTTTTATTAATTAAGTATTTTTGTTAAAGTTTACAATATTTTGACAAAAATATAAAATATCTTGGGAAACTTTCAGTTTTTCGATAGTCTTAATTCTTAATACTTTTATACACAGAATAATCAAATAATATATTCATGTTAAAAAAACAGTTGCTTTTTAAAACAAGTAATTTGCAAGCTGCGTACTTTTTCTTAAAAGCAACTGTGTGTTTTCTTTACACCAATTGATTAGTCTCTCATTATTCCATGCATAAAAGTATTAAGATTAGATTATTTAAATATTAAGAATATTTTGCAAAATATTTTACATTTTATGTTAAAAAATTGTAGACTTCAAGCTTTATATAACTCAAAAAATACTTTAGTATTTTGGAAAGTTCTTAAGGTAAGCTACAAAAATATTCAGTAAAAAATATAATAGTAAAACCCATTTAAGAAATTGACCTTTATGTAACCTTCAAAGAATTATCCAAAGAATCAAATTTTGCTCACTATTTATATCTTCTTGAAGCCATACAATTTTTTGTTTGAAATATTTTTTCTCTAAATACTTTCCCTTCAGATATTCCAATGTATTCTTTTAATAGGACACCTGTATAATTACAATTTTACCAATAATATTAATTTTTGATAATTTTAACAGCAATATTTTATTTTATAAATTCATTTTTTATTAATAATATGTATTATATATATGTGTGTGTGTGTGTGTGTGTGTGTGTGTGTGTGTGTGTGTGTGTGTGTGTGTGTGTTGAATATCGACGTAATAATTAAATATTAAATTAGTATATTATAGTTAATATATTTTATAACAGCTCAATATGTTAACAGAAAAGAAAAAAA